GTATGTAATTGTAAATTTTCGATAGGTTGGGATGTACTCGAAAATGGCCCAATAGGTTGGGGGGTTTACTGTACTTTTTCCTATTAAATATGATGAGCTTATTCCATTACAAGTCTCAAGCTCAATGGAGTTGTCCATTAAAAATCCGATTGGCAAACAATTGGTCCGAGTTCTTAAATTCATAAAGCATAGATTAGTGGGTTCAAATCCATAGCGCCCATTAATTCCCAAGGCAGCAAATTAAGGCTCAAGTGGTGTAAAACCACATCAAAAGCCTAAGTGGTACAAAACCACTTCAAAAGCCCTACTAAGAAATGTGGGAAACAATCATTGTGGCAAAGAAGCTATTCATAAATGAGTGCCGATTCAACCATGGTGTGACGGTGACTCTAATCCAAATAAATGATTGGTCATGCCCCGAGCATCAAGCTCAATTTCAAAAAATACCAAAGGAGCATCAATATGGATTAACGGGTTTATCAATCACAAAAGTCCATTAATCTCAAATCCCCCAAATCATGCATGGATTTAAATGCATGTGTCAATGATCAAATTCAATTAGTGGGTTCATCAAAATTGCCCATTAGTTTTTTTTTTCCTGACATTGACAATGAAAAAATGGTACAAAATCATTCAAAATTTTCTCATGGGTCATCTACCCTTGCAAGTTTCAATGAGATCACATTCAAATCTCTCAAACACAAATTCTTAATTAGTGGGCCACACTTACCCATTAATTTCTAAATTTGGAACTACGTCGGTTTGATCTCATCAAGGGTATGTAGGCAGTCTAGCATCTCAATAGACGCAGCCGCAACCAAATTTGAATCCCTGGTTTATTCTAACCAAATTCGCCCAAACACTTTCCCAAATGCAAATGTCAATTGTAGAAAATTAGTGGGTTCATCAAAATTGCTCATTATTTTTCTTGGACATTGACAATAAGAAAAATGGTACAAAACCATCAAATTTTTCTCATGGGTCATCTACCCATGCAAATTTCAATGAGATTAAATTCAAATCTCTCAAACACAAATTCTCAATTAGTGGGCCACACTTGCCCATTGCCCATTAATTTCCAATTTTTCCCATGGATCATCTACCCATGCAAATTTCAATGAGATTAAATTCAAATCTCTCAAATAAAAATTCTCAATTAGTCGGCTACACTTACCCATTAATTTCCAATTTTTCTTATGGGTCATTTACCTATGAAAATATTAAAATCTCCAAATTGTCTCAAAGACACAAATTCTAAATTAGCGGGCCACACTTACCCATTAATTTCTAGATTTGGAACTACGTCGGTTTGATCCCATCAAGGATACGTAGGCAGTCTAACATCCCACTAGACTCAACCGCAACCAAATTTGAATCATTGGTTTATTCTAACCAAATTCGCCAGAACACTTTTCCAAGTGCAAATGTCGATTTTAGAAAATTAGTGGGTTAATCGAAATTTCTCATTATTATTTTTTGGACATTGACAATAGGAAAAATGGTACAAAACCATCCAACTTTTCCCATGAGTCATCTGCCCATGCAAATTTCAATGAGATTAAATTCAAATCTCTCAAACACAAATTCTTAGTTAGTGGGCCACACTTACCCATTAATTTCCAATTTTTCCTAGAGGTCATCTACCTATGAAAATTTTAACATCTCCAAATTGTCTCGAAGACACAAATTCTTAATTAGTGGGCCACACTTACCTATTAGTTTCAAAATCGATTCTCTGAACTACGTTGGTTTGATCCCTTCGAAAGGGTACGTAGGCAATCTAGCGACTCAATCCAGATGCAATCGCCCAAATCTTAAATCTAAACAGAATCCCAAGTTTATTCGGAACTAAATTCGCCCCAAATAGAATTCAAAATTGAATCCCTCGTTTATTCAGCTAAATTCACTCAATACAATATGAATCAAATTTTCCTTGCAATGATTTATTTATTCATTGCAATTCTTTGAACTACGAGTGGCTTAATTCCCATAAGGGATTCATACGCACCCTGAGGTTCGACTTAGAGTAGCCACAAAACCAAACACACATGTTCTGTTTATTTATGATGGAATCAAAGGGTGTCCCCTTGAAGCAAGGGATTGTAATTAAGAGACACCGCGTCTCGAATGGATCGAATCTAAAATAATAAAACCCCATTATTTAATTAGTGGTGGTGAAATTAGGTTAAGAGGTTCACATTTTTTCTTCAATAGTTTTGTTATTGAGACGCTACCTTTACCTCTTCTTTTTGTTATGGAATTTGTCTGTATCTCAAACCCATGGGTTTCTTCATCCACAGTGAGCTAGTGGAGAACATGTAATGATTTTTGGGGTATTAATTCTTTAACTTTTTTTAAAGTAAAGGAATGGAGTTACATCAAAAGAAAAAGGGTTCATTGCTGGATCTATCCCTCTTGGTTTTACTTTTGTATCACAAGCGGAAGCTTTAGCTTTACAACATGCCTTAGCTTGGGCTTCAATATCCCATGATTCCATCTTCCGAACTTGGAAGCTGATTCCAAATTTTAGTTCAAATCCATATAAAGAAGATTTTGGTCCCTTGGTCCATTCGAACAAGTATTCAAGACATCTGGCACTTATTCCAGCCATTTGATCATAATACCATTCAACATATCTACAAAGAAAACAATTAAGTTGAAGTTTTTTTAGCTAAGAGAGGACATTCGCATCCTCATCCTTGTATTTTGTTTAAATTCCTTCCTTACGACATTAGCTAGAAGAAAAGAATATCAGAGATAATATCTGAAAGAGAGAGTGCTGGGTAATTCTGAATGTATTCTTCTCCATGTAGGAGGCACATATACATCATATCTTGGAGCCCAAGTAACCTTGTAGGTCAAGTAAAGTAACCTTGAAGGCGGAACTGAACTGACTATCTCCCTCTTATCCCTCTTCTCTGCTTCTCATGCTCTTCTTCTCATCTATGTTGTCTAGTGAAAGAATACAGTGGTTGCGGGTTTTGTTGAGAAGGAGGGGTCGCTCGCTACTTTTGGGTTTTTTCCTTCTCATGTTCCAACCCCCATGACATCATAATTAAATGCAAAACTGCAATGTAGTTCTTTTTTCATAATTCGAAATACAGGTACATGAGCAGTTACTTTTTCATAATGCAGGTGATTAAAGCATTATATTGAACTAAAGTAGCGAGCGATCCTCAAAAAAAAAAAAAAAGTTCACTATTTCTTTTTCTTTTTTTAGACATAAGTTCACTATTTTTCTTAAGAGGGAAGGGATCATATAATTTAATAAAAACAAAACAAAAAGGAGGTCCCTAAGTTAAAAATAGTGAACTTATGTCTCAAAAATAAAGAAAAAGAAATAGTGAACTTTATTTATTTCTTTAAATACTAGACAGGCGCGTTTCTGTGCCATGGTGTATTGCGCAACTCAATGCAGACATATCTCACTTATCTACCTTCTGTGAAGAAGGCCAATTATGTAGCTGATGTTTTAGCTTCCTTAGGGCACCCTTTGACTTCAGTCCCATCACACAACTTTGTCGTCGTTGCATTCCGCGATCATATTCCTCTAGATCTAATCCCTATCCCATTACGATTTTCTCTGAGTTCTTTTTCTGTTTTTGTTTTTTGGTATTTGATTGTTGTTTTTGGTTGCACTGGTGGGTGCTTTGGCTTTAGATTTGGACTGATGGTGACGACGACCACCCTCGTGAGGAGAAGTCAGAGAAGTCGAAATCTTAACGAAAGCAAAGATAACTTGACCATTAGTGGGAATTATATATCGGCATAAGCAGTCAAATAATTGGTAGGCATATAGCCGCGCGGCTATATTCCGGTTTTATTTTATTTTTTAAATTAATAGTATAGCCGGGCGGCTATACTATTTTTTCCCTGAAAAAATGGCCGTCTGCTATACTCCGGTTTTTTAATTTTGGGTTATTTGTAGCAATGATCCCTCAACTATACTCGGAGTTACATTTTGGTCACTCAACTCAAATATTAGTTGCAGAGGTCACTCAATTGGGTGTTGTGTTGTGGTAGGGACTAATGGTGCAACACAACACCCAATTGAGTAACCTCTGCAACTAATATTTGAGTTGAGTGACCAAAATGTAACTCCGAGTATAGTTGAGGGACCATTGCTACAAATAATCCTAACTGAAAAGTCACATTTGCCCATCAATAATCTAAGAGATGCTTGTCACGTCCTCATTTTAAACGAAAAAGTCACAGACTTGACGGTAGAGACTAATGGTGCAACATACCACCCATTAGTGTTGCTGGAGAAATTGCGCAAGATACTTTTACATTCTCAATTAGTTTTATAATTCTATTACAATTTACATTCAATGTTTTCATGAAGCAAGTTTGTCCTTCTAATCCCCATAAAATGGCATGACACTAACACTTTATAGCTTATCCGTTCTAATCCCCACAAATTGTAAAAATCTTTCATCTCTACTTCATTTCTTAATTCAAGATGTGTTGATTCTACTAAGTTGTTTCATCCAATCCAATCCTAGACACCGAACGTGACCTATCAATATATGACGTATATGTGTTTGCATGTTCATGCGCATAATATGGGAACAGAACAAATTTTCAATTGGGGGAGCCACCTAGCTATTCTCTGCATATGGACGTAAAAGAGGCAACATTATCATCTCTTAAGGTTATTTTCATCTCAAATTCAGGGGTTGACACTGGAAAGGTAATTTACTTCTAGAAAATGGTGGCAATTTCAAGGGTTCACACTGTAGTTCACTAGAAGGAAATTAAGTTTGGCAAAGACTCACCCATGTTTAGTGTATTAGAAAGTCTCCCTTCCAGAATCATGTGTTTTGAATCATGTGTTTTAGTAGAATTATTATACAGGAGTTGGTAATGATTATAAATACACAATTACTGCTTGTATCTTGAGATATGAGACAAGCATATATACTTCACCAGTTTTGGTTGTGCCTTTATCTTTGTCTGAATACTTGTGCTTCTTCGTCTTGATCATGACTCTAACTAACATGGTTGGAGTAAGGTGCTGCTTCAAACTACTCTATGCAATTGTGGTGATGATTTTACTACACATGAACAATCCTTGCATTGGATGCAGCGAGAGGGAAAAGCAAGCACTCCTTGCACTTAAACAAGGTCTCATGGGTGACGACAGCTATCGCCTCCTTTCCTGGGGAAGAGAAGCCCGAAACAAAGATTGCTGCGAATGGGATGGAGTCTACTGCAGCAACCAAACTGGTCATGTTGTTAAGCTTGATCTTGGATTCCAATTTTTGCAAGGTAAGATTAGTCCTAAACTCATTGAGTTGCAGCATTTGGAATATTTGGACCTTAGTGGGAATAATTTCAGTCGGAGCCAAATTCCAGATTTCATTGGATCTCTGAGCAATTTAAGATACCTCGATCTCTCTAATGCAAATTTTGGAGGTTTAATTCCATATCAACTTGGAAACCTTAGAAACTTGCATTATCTCGATCTTAAGTTTCAAGATTATCTTTCTGGCTCTATTTATGCAAAAAATCTCTATTGGCTTCCTAATCTTTCTCGTCTAAAATACTTGGACCTAAGTGTCGTTAATCTCAGTGATGTTGTTGGTTGGCTGGAAGCAGTTATTATGCTTCCTAAACTAACAAACTTGACATTATACGGTTGTAATCTTCCTCCTCCGGTCATATCCTCTGTTTCTCTCTTGAATTCTTCTAAATCTCTTGTTCATGTCGATCTCTACAAAAACAATCTTAACTCATCAATCTTCCAATGGTTGCCCAACCTTGTTTATCTTGATCTCTCGGAAACTAAATTGAGTGGAAGAATACCTGAAAGTATTGGACAGATGTCCAATCTGGAGACTATCTATTTGAGTATGAATTCTTTTGAAGGAGTAATTTCAGAAACTAATTTCTCGAAACTCTCCAAATTAAGGATTTTGGATTTATCCTCTAACTCACTAGTTTTAAACTTCAGTTTTGATTGGGTTCCTCCCTTTCAATTGCGTCAGATAAGATTGGGATCTTGTAAGATGGGACCGTATTTCCCGAAATGGCTTCGAACTCAGAAAAGTTATGACTGGCTGGATATTTCTAATGCTGGAATTTCTGATACCATTCCAACTTGGTTTGGGGATTTGCGAAATAAAGTCGAGTATATGGATTTGTCTCACAATCGACTTAGAGGAAATTTGATATCAGAGTTAGCATCTTATTATTTAAATGTGAGTTGGAACCAATTGGAGGGTCCAATCCCTTCAATCCAATCAGACGTATCAATTCTAGATCTGTCCAATAATAAATTTTCAGGGTCAGCTTCATTTTTGTGTACAAGTACAACCGAGGAGAGTTATTTAACCTATCTGGATCTCTCAAGCAACCATGTATCCGGAGAACTTCCAGATTGCTGGATCCATTTTCACAAATTAGTCTTTCTTGATTTGAGCAACAACTCTTTATCTGGGAAAATTCCTACAACGATGGGACACTTGATTCGTATTGGGACACTAAACCTAAATAACAACAGATTTGTGGGAGAGTTGCCTTCACAATTGAAGAATTGCATAAACTTGACACTTGTTGATGTTGGGGAAAATAAATTATCAGGATTAATACCTGAATGGCTAGGGGAAAATCTGCTAAATTTGGCTATCGTTATCCTTCGATCTAATCAGTTTTATAGGAGCATCCCACCACAGTTATGCCATCTTACACAACTTCAAATTTTGGATTTGTCAATGAACAATATCTCTGGAACTATACCCAAATGTCTCAACACTTGGACTACTTTGGCTCAAAAAGGACATTCAAGTGCAAGTATCGAACATTCCAATATTTTTCAGTGGGGAGGATTATTCTATGATTTGCCTTATGATGATGAAGCATCTTTAACATGGAAAGGAGTAAGGTCAAAATACAAAAGTATTTTGGGACTTGTAAAGAGTATTGATCTCTCATCCAATATGTTGAGTGGGGAGATTCCTACTGAAATCACTTATCTTGTTGGTTTAGTTTCTTTAAACTTGTCGAGAAACCGATTAACAGGTCAAATACCTTCAAGGATTGGAAATTTGCAGGAGTTAGATTCTCTTGATTTATCAAGAAACCAGATAAATGGCAGAATTCCAATAAGTATTTCTTGGATAAATCGTATTGGTTACTTGGACTTGTCACAAAACAACTTGTCTGGAAAAATTCCAATAGGCAATCAGCTCCAAACCATTGACTTTGCTTATGGTGGAAATCCTCTGCTTTGTGGAGAACCACTCCCAAGGACATGCTCTGAGGAGGAAAAAGGTCCAGGACAATCTGTGTTGGTGAATGAAGATGACAAAGATGGGCTCATAACACAAGGATTTTACATCAGCATGTGGCTTGGGTTTGCTGTTGGATTTTGGGGAGTTTGTGGCACTCTTCTGCTCAACAGGCCTTGTAGATATACGTACTTCAATTTCTTGACCTCTCTGAACGATTGGCTGTACGTGAAGGCAGAAATCATCAGGCAAAGGATCCTTAATAAATAAATGGTAATTACTACCATTTTTCTTACATACTAGTTATGAAATTAAATTATGCAAGTTAGTTGTTCTTAACCCGAATATACATGCAGATATTACATAACATAAGAAATGAAAATTAAAAACTAAAATTGAAATGATTATCAAACGGGCTCTTAGTTTATGTGATTTATCTTTTTCAATCTTATGGGTTGTTTAACCTTCGTCTTTAGCGCAGGCATCTTTGAGACGAAATGCTTTCCTTCAGTTGAAGATGGATGCGATGAAGGACTCCTATTTGTACTAGTTTTCGAGTATTTGATTGCTGATGAGGGATCTCACTGAAATAAAGGAACCATTTTAGTAGATTAGTTGTGTTGTTATTTGTAAGAACTTAACGGGAACTTCTCCCATGAACTATTTGGTATGATGTTCTTGTGTACCTCATGGTGTATGTTTTTTTCTTTCACAATGTAGGAAATGTAGACGCAGAATTGCCTTTTATTGTATTGTTGTTATGAATAAAACAATGGAATTTGTGTTAACATATGTCATTATCTTTCGTTTGTGTAAGAAAGAAAATACTTGTCTTAAAACAGAAGAAAAGAGAAATTGATGATACATTGGGCCTGCTCAAGTTTGTTGTATTCTACATTGGGCTATATATAAAGTATCTCAGTCTCATAAACACAAAAACAGAGCAACCCTTTTATACAAAAGACATGTAATATTAATAACAACACTAGGACATTACTTTGAACAACTTGTGCACCAATTCATCAAAAGTCATGAAATGTAAATTTTATATGCAACTTTTCAACCAACAACTTCAGCTGTGTCTTGTAAGGAAAATACCAAATAGTAAGAGAAGTCATAAACAGAAGTACAAGGGTAGTTTGATGAAGTGCAGGCCATCATCTTTTTTCATTCAAATTGAAAGCTACTGGTAAATTCGTAAATGACAAAACCTACTCAATAATGGACTTACAAATGGACTCCAAGGCGGGCATGTACTGGAAATACGGGTCAGATTGCTTCATCTTGGAGATCTCATACACGTGCCTCACAGACAGTTCAGAAGCGACGACGCGTTTGAGTTGACTGCTGCCGGAGTCGATGCCGGTAGCCTTCTTCAGGTACCAGTTGACAGACGGTGACTTAACCATGAACTCGTAGGTGTTGTTCAGGGTCACCACCACGGGTACGTCAAGTTTGAACTTTTGGGTCTGGGCGTTGAAATCCTTGCCAAAGGCCATCATGTTCACTGCCCTGTATTGACCCAAATCCTTGCTCAACGGTTTGGGTGTGGCCACGCCCGCCTGGAGTGTGACCCGGATATTCGCCAGCACGGGTCTTCAGGTAAGAATCTCCTTCAGGTTGACATGGCTTCGCTGCTCTCACATCGACAACAACACTTGCAGGGTCACTTCTCTCACTCTGATGATGATGGTTCATTAAGGTGAACGTGAGAAATGCTGTTAAGATATTTTGGGTGGTAGCTGGGTTGTAAGATTTTGGGGACAAACAACTGATGCTTTTTTTGGGTGGATGCTTTGAAAAGGGGAAGTCTCGGATGAGAAGAATCGGTCTCTGATGAAAAGAAAAGTTTATGTTATTGAAGAAAGAGAACAACTTTTTGGAGGGAGATATCGTGTTCTTCAAGAACACAATACAGCTGTTTTGGAGGGAGGAGGCCTCATTCCAGTGCAACAGTTTCACAAAGTTCACTTACAATTGGTTGTTGCTTAGCCGTTAGATTAGATCCAACGGTGTTCTCACCCATAGGTCCTCACTTAGAGATACTTGCTAGAGAACGACCCTTTTATTAAGAGTCATGCTAGGGAGACCAACTTGGGAGACCAACTTGGGTACCAACTCTCTAATAGAGATGGAGCCCACCAATACAATGGGTCCCACGCTCTATTAGAGAGTTGGTATCCCAAATTGGTCTCCCAAATTCTTCTCCCTAGCATTTTCCTTTTATTAAAACCAGGCTAGCACAACAACTAGAAATGGCTGGGGTGGCCAGCACATGCAGGCCTAGGTGCAAACCCAGACCAAGGTAAGCCATCTGCTCCCATATATATATATATATTTGATCAGAAATGTTAAAGTGCCTTTCCCAGACTGACAACCCTTCATCTCTGGGATTGAACCACTTAACTCAAATTCCATTGTTTTATTCATAACAGCAATACAGTAAACGGCAATTCAGCGTCTCCACTTCCTGCTGGAATTTCTTGGGTCCGCCACTCCACTTTCTGGGCGTCCTTAGAAAATGATTGGTTGGTCAACTCGCAGAAACAGTTCTTGGGTGTCCATAAAATCACCCTTGGCATAAGGAGAACAAATAGACAAAGTCAGACTCAATCACAAGCTGAGAAATATCTTAAGCCAACGAAACTCAAGGCCCATACCTATTCAAATAACATTAACTTTTCTGATACAAGAGAACTGAGCGCCTCACAGATTGTTCAGTCAAAAAGATCACTTCAAATGTGTTTTTGGAAAATTATTTTATAGGGTATAGGGGCTCAAGCAATTTCAATACGTCCGTGAACCAGGAAAAAAAAATAGTTAATTAGGTAGAAAGTAAACTGTCTTCAACTTCAACCATCATTTGATGCCACATGACTTGCTGCACTTCATACTTGTAATAACCTCAAAATTGGGATTTTGTTGTTATTAATATTCTGAAAAATCATACAAGGTTAATTAAATGCGTGGGCAATTTATGAAGTTGGTTTGATGTGGAAGTGATTGGATTAAGAGTGTTTAATATCAATTTGAACTAAAATGCCATTACGTTTAATTTATTGATTTTTCAAAGGACGTTCAAGAAATTGAACTGAGAAAATTATAATTTCCTACAACGAAAATCAAGCTTGATCTCATGAACGCATAGGCGCAGACGGTTTGTGAATCGGAGCTATAATGAAGGAGAAATTAAATTTCGAAGTTTTGAAATTTAATTAGAGGGCTAAATAGTGAATAGTGAACAGTGCTATTTTCGGAATTCTATCAATTGGAGGATCACTGTGCAAATAGCAGAAAAGCCCATAATTTTCAGAAATTTCATTTTGGTCCAGAGCCTCACCGGAGAGGCAATTTTCGACTGCTTCTGCGACGGCGTCCGGCGACGGTTTTCAACACCGCCAACCCATATCAATAGAGGAGCATCCCGTGAGCATAACCCAACTAGAATCATGGTGATCGGATCAACTGTAATCATGGTTAAACCCATAACTTTGGATCAACTGTAATCATGGTGATTAAGAATGAATATATAACTAAATATCTCTTTTTAAAAAAAAAAATTGTTTATAAAAATTAAATAGTATAATATTTATCTATAAAATAAGAATGCATATATATATATACAGAAATTCTCTTATGCGGACATCCGGACGTTATTATCGTGCGGACGCTGTGTATTTTGTATTACCCCTTTCTGTTTTCCTGCATGTTTACAATAGGATCCGTACGATAATAATGTGCGGATATCCGAATAAGAGAATAACTATATATATATATATATATATATATCTCAAAAAGGAAAAGTATATGGCAGCGTTTGTTTGTATCATTACCCAGTGGCATATTTTATGCTGACATACAAGACTCATTGCGTATGTGGACCGATTTTTCCACTTTTTTAGACTTGCAGCTTTTTGGTTCTTTGTTCCTTGAATCTGGACTGATTTATCAATGCCCCTAATAATAGACCCGTTTAGGTTATTCAGAAATTCAAAATTTGGTGTCAGGACTTGAACCTTTAACTTCCAAATTGAAAATTTGGCGTCAGGGGTTCACACTGGAAAGGTAATTTACTTCTTCTGACAAACGGTGGAAATTTCAGGGGTTCACACTGTAGTTCACTAAGGGGAAAGTAAGTTTCGCAAAGACTCACCCAAGTGTTTTTGTAGAATTATTGTACAGGAGTTGGTAACGATTATAAATACACACTTAATGCTTGTATCTTCGTGAGAAAGTCTCCCTTCGTGAAGACGGGAGAACGTCTCCTTTCTATTAGTAGAATAATTGTAGAATTATTGTACAGGAGTTGAGGCTACGGTAACGATTATAAATACACAATAAATGCTTGTATCTTGAGATATCAGACAAGCATATATACTTCACCAGTTTTGGTTGTGCCTTTATCTTTGTCTGAATACTTGTGTTTCTTCGTCTTGATCATGACTCTAACTAACATGGTTGGAGTAAGGTGCTGCTTCAAACTCCTCTATGCAATTGTGGTGGTGATTTTACTGCACATGAACAATCCTTGCACTGGATGCCGCGAGAGGGAAAGGCAAGCACTCCTTGCACTTAAACAAGGTTTCGTGGCTGACGACGGCGATCCCCTCGATTCCTGGGGAAGAGAAGCCCAAAACAAAGATTGCTGCGAATGGGATGGAGTCCACTGCAGCAAACAAACTGGCCATGTTGTTAAGCTTGATCTTGGATTCCAAGTTTTGCAAGGTAAGATTAGTCCTAAACTCATTGAGTTGCAGCATTTGGAATATTTGGACCTTCATTACAGTAATTTCAATGGGAGCCAAATTCCAGATTTCATTGGATCTCTGAGCAATTTAAGACTAAGAATCAATCTCTCACTGAAAAGCTCACAATTTTTCTTTTTTAATCTGTCTTTGAGATTGATGGTGACCAAGAGGAGAAGAGCATGGGAATTTCAAAAGGTAATCAGATTTATGAATTTTTCTTTATATTTGTTCCTATCTAGCAAACTATTTTTTCAATTTCCAATAGGAACAAAACACATAGAGACCCATTATAGAAGCAAACAACAAACTCTTTCCTTGGGCTATTGGTTGCTGGAACATCGGTTTGTAAATTTGTAATTTCCTTCATGATATTAAATATCTAATTCGAATTTTTTTTATGGAGATATTTCCTACTATAATGCATACTACCTTTTTTATTTGCTCATAGCGCGCAAAGTAAAATAATTTTATTTGTTATTTTTTTCGCAATTATATACTAAAAAAGGGGCCTCATTTAGTTTATGACCTAGGGCCACCCAAAAGTCAGGGCCGGCCCTGACTCTAACTAACATGGTTGGAGTAAGGCGCTGCTTCAAACTCCTCTATGCAATTGTGGTGCTGATTTTACTACACACGAACAATCCTTGCATTGGATGCAGCGAGAGGGAAAGGCAAGCACTCCTTGCACTTGAACAAGGTTTCGTGGCTGACTCCGGCGGTCCCTTCTTTTCCTGGGGAAGCGAAGCCCAAAACAAAGATTGCTGCGAATGGGATGGAGTCCACTGCAGCAACCAAACTGGCAATGTTGTTAAGCTTGATCTTGGACTCGATGATTGGCCAGGTAAGATTAGTCCTAAACTCATTGAGTTGCAGCATTTGGAATATTTGGACCTTAGTGGGAATGATTTCAACGGGAGCCAAATTCCAGATTTCATTGGATCTCTGAGCAATTTAAGATACCTCGATCTCTCTGATGCAATATTTGGAGGTCTAATTCCATATCAACTTGGAAACCTTAGAAAATTGCATTATCTCGATCTTAGTTATCAAGATTATTTTTCTGGCTCTATTTATGCAAAAAATCTCTATTGGCTTCCTAATCTTTCTCGTCTAAAATACTTGGGCCTAAGTTTCGTTAATCTCAGTAGTGATGTTGGTTGGCTGGAAGCAGTTAATATGCTTCCTAAACTAACAAACTTGACATTACACGAGTGTAATCTTCCTCCTCCAGTTATATCCTCTGTTTCTCTCTTGAATTCTTCTAAATCTCTTGTTCATGTCGATCTCCACAACAACAGTCTTAACTCATCAATCTTCCAATGGTTGCCCGGTACTCATACCAACCTTGTTTATCTTGATCTCTCTGAAAATAAATTGAGTGGAAGAATACCTGAAACTCGTTTCTCGAAACTCTCCAAATTAAGGTTTTTGGATTTATCCTCTAACTCACTAGTTTTAAACTTCAGTTTTGATTGGGTTCCTCCCTTTCAATTGTATGAGATAAGATTGGGGTCTTGTAAGATGGGGCCGTATTTCCCGAACTGGCTTCAAACTCAGAAAAGTTATCATTGGCTGGATATTTCTGATGCTGGAATTTCTGATACCATTCCAACTTGGTTTGGGGATTTGCCAAATAAATTGGGGTATAAGGATTCGTCTCGCAATCAATTTAGAGGAAATTTGAGATCACAGTTAGCATCTTCTTATTTAAATGTGAGTTGGAACCAATTGGAGGGTCCAATCCCTTCAATCCTATCAAACGTATCAGTTCTAGATCTGTCCAATAATAAATTTTCAGGGTCAGCTTCATTTTTGTGTACAAGTACAACCGAGAAGAGTAATTTAACCTATCTTGATCTCTCAAGGAACCATGTATCCGGAGAACTTCCAGATTGCTGGATCAATTTTCAAGAATTACTCTTTCTTGATTTGAGCAACAACTCTTTATCTGGGAAAATTCCTACAACGATCGGATACTTGATTAGTATTCAGACACTAAACCTAAATAACAACAAATTTGTGGGAGAGTTGCCTTCACAATTGAAGAATTGCGGAAAGTTGACACTTGTTGATGTTGGGGAAAATAAATTATCAGGATTAATACCTGAATGGTTAGGGGAAAATCTGCTAAGTTTGGCTATCATTATCCTTCGATCTAATCAGTTTTACAGGAGCATCCCGCCACAGTTATGCCATCTTACACAACTTCAAATTTTGGATTTGTCGATGAACAACATCTCTGGAACTATACCCAAATGTCTCAACAATTGGAATACTTTGGCTCAAAATAGACATTCAAGTCCAAGTATCGAACATTACAATTCATTTTTGTCGGGAGAATCATCATACTATGATTTGTCTTATGATGATGAAGCAACTTTAACATGGAAAGGAGCAAGGTTAAAATACAAAAGTACTCTGGGACTTGTAAAGAGTATTGATCTCTCATCCAATATGTTGAGTGGGGAGATTCCTACTGAAATCACTTATCTTGTTGGTTTGGTTTCTTTAAACTTGTCGAGAAATCGATTAACAGGTCAAATCCCTTCAAGGATTGGAAATTTGCAGGAGTTAGATTCTCTTGATTTATCAAGAAACCAGATAAACGGCAGAATTCCAATAAGTATTTCTCGGATATATCGTATTGGTTACTTGGACTTGTCACAAAACAACTTGTCTGGAAAAATTCCAATAGGCAATCAGCTCCAAACCTTTGACTTTGCTTATGGTGGAAATCCTCAACTTTGTGGAGAACCACTTCCAAGGACATGTTCTGAGGAGGAAAAAGGTCCAGGACAATCTGTGTTGGTGATTGAAGACGACAAAGATGGGCTCATAACACAAGGATTTTACATCAGCATGGGGCTTGGGATTGCAGTTGGATTTTGGGGAGTTTGTGGCACTCTTCTGCTCAACAGGTCATGTAGATATACATACTTCAATTTCTTGACCTTTCTGAACGATTGGTTGTACGTGAAGACAGAAACCATTAGGCAAAGGATCCTTAATAAATAAATGGTAATTACTACTATCTTTCTTACATACTAGTTATGAAATTAAATTATGCAAGTTAGTGGTTCTTAACCCCGAGTATACATGCAGATATTACAGAACATAAGAAATGAAAACTAAAAAATAAAATTCTAATGATTATCAAACGGGCCCATAGTTTATGTGATTTATCTTTTTCAATCTTATGGGTTGTTTAACCTTTGTCTTTAGCGCAGGCACCTTTGAGACAACATGCTTCCCTTCAGTTGAAGATGGATCCAATGAAGGACTCTTATTTGTACTAGTTTTCGAGTATTTGAGTGATGATAAGGGATCTCACTGAAATAAAGAAACCATTTTAGTAGATTAGTTGTGCTGTTATTTGTAAGAACTTAACGGGAACTTGTCCCATGAACTATTTGGTATGATGTTCTTGTGTACCTCATGGTGTATGTTTTTTTATTTCACAATGTAGGAAATGTAGATGCAGAAATGCATTTTACTGTATTGTTGTTATGAATAAAACAATGGAATTTGAGTTAACATATGTCATTATCTTTCGTTTTTGTAAGAAAGAAAATACTTGTCTTAAAACAGAAGAGAAATTGATGATACACTGGGCCTGCTCAAGTTTGCTGTATTCTACGTTGGGCTATAAAGTATCTCAGTCTCATAAACACAAGCAAATAGCAATAGAAATGAAGAAGGTAAAAACAGAGCAAAACAGGGGAGAGGATATTGCTCTCGGCACTAGCTTTTCTATTTATACAAAAAGATGTACATATTAATAAAACACTAGGAAATTAATTTGAACAACTTGTGCACTAATTCATCAAAAGTTATGAAATGTAAAAAAAGAAAAAGAAATTACGCTTCTTTAGAATCTAGGTTTCAATGATGGAGCCAATTGCAAGAGACAACACTTATTAAGTAGGAAGTAAATTTTTATGGATTGGCTATGATAGATGAAAATTGCAAAAGTGAAGCTTCAGAAGGAACTATACAATTTGCACTGGTGGGTGCTTTGGCTTTTGATTTGGACCGATCGTGACAACGACCACCATGAGGAGGGTGAGGAGAAGGAAGAGAAGTCGAAATCTTAATGAAAGCAAAGTTACCTTGTTATCAGCATCAGAAGTCAAAAGATACCTTTATAATGTTTTATCCCTTTCTTTCCCTCTAGCCTCCAATTGAAGGAGTTTGCGTTGAACCAACCCGAGGCCTATTGAATAAAAATTGGCAATCAAGTTTTTCGAAGACCTGGAGATCCTCCTTTGGAGGAAGTTGTTGAGAAGCTCCAGAATGAGAAAAAGAGAGTGGAGAATGACAGTCCAGCAGAGAGCAATAGGCATTTGAAAGAGGAAATATAATGACCATTTTTGTAACTCCATAGCAACCTCCACTCTGAATATTCATGTATTACTATTCAAGTTGATTTTAGGCTGCTGATGAAGCTGACAGATATGCGAAATGACAATTGTAGACACGATTATTTATCGAGATTCTGTTTTTATCTATTTATATTAATGGAACCAGTGCATAAAAACTGCCCAAGAGTAGGTAGGCTATCTATTTACCATTTTCTCATCTGTGCGAGATATCCCAGTTAGTCACCTGCAGCCTGCAGGTGTAAAAGGTAAGTATTTCACCATTGATTAGAACGAAAACCCAGAAGCAACTTCAATAATACTCAGCTTCTTTCTTTGAAAGGGGACAAATTCTGTTCAACAGAGTACAACAGAGGAAGTACATAAAATTTCTGACTGTAAGATTCTAAGTCTCCGACAACGAAGTTTGTCGTTTGCAGTTTAAATGAAGCAACATACAGCAATATAATAGACAAGTTAAAGAGTCTCTGTTTGATAAGGGTGAAGGGAGAATTTTTCCTAGATACAAATTCGAACCATCCAATTCAGGTTCTTTGATCACATTCTTTAGGGTTGCCAGTCGATCTTCGACAAAGCTGGTCAATGTTGAGCGTATATTATCGAAAATTCTGAGCATTTAGTATCTTATAAAAAAAATTCAAATACGAAGCAGAAAAGTATATTACTGCAGTTTCAGCCCCTGATGTTCTGGTTTCTTTTGAAGCTGCTTCAATACTTCTACCTTGGGACTGGAAGAGGAATTCAATACATAAGAGTAAAGTTCCACATTAGGGAAAACCAACCACAGGCATAAGTACCGAAAAAATCAAACACTGATTGAAATCAAGTTAATTTCCACGAACCCACTTCCAAGACATATTCTTTCAGGCGGTGTTGTAATTCCTGCAAGTTCTCGCAGTAAAGCATCAGCAAATCGGCTCTGCAATAGGTGAAAGAAGAACAGGAAATAAGAAAGTGAGAGAATGACAAAGGGCAAAAGTTTACATTTACAGCTACCACAACATTTTCAGTCTTTAATTGGATTGTCAGAAAGAGAAAACAAAGATACTCACACCTGTTTTGTGGTGACAATGTATACGGTTGAGCTTGCAAATTTTAGAGCATCAGGAACACCCGGATATAATCTGCAAGCAAATTATCTCCTACTTAGATATGCATTGAGCCCTCCCAGTCCCAACAAGTTTGATTAAAACAAAAAATTCCAACACCTGTCTTTTGATTTAATTCATTATCTATTCAGATTTCATCATTCCGATTTTACCCTTCTCATTGGTTTTATTTTTTATAATAATCAAAATTGAATTTCATCTTGGGGTATCTTGAGAAGTTTTGTGATTCGAGGGTGGTAAGGGTTGGTTGTTGGGCAGTAGCTAGTTATTGGAATGGTGGTGGTGAGGGTGGCTTTGGGTTGGGTGGTGGTTGTGATATGATATAGGATTGGGCACGGTATGAGATGACACGGGATGGAGGTCATCCCAATGTCAATCCTGAATAGGGGAATCATGATGGGATGACACGAGATGAGAGTTTTTGAAAACACATTCAAACCATACTGAATCCAAATGGGATCGGTATCGGTATGATTCGGTATCAATGTTGATACCGTAAAAAATTTGCAAAATTTCATAAATCAAGTGTAATTCAACAAAATAAACAATCAAGAATCTTGATTCAAGACCAACCAAGAAATGGAAACCTCATACAGAGTTCAAATGAAATGGAATGATCTGAAATGCCACAATATTACAACTCATTGAATGGATATAGTAATGCATAAAATGTCATTCAAGTTAATGATCCAACAAGCTGGGCACTTGTTAACTTTTAGAGTTCTCATGGACAACTTAATAAGTTTTCCATGTGCAAGAAAATGAAACGGTAAGTAGCAAGGCATGATAAAATTTCATCATTTATGCAACCCTCTAGGGAAAGCTGTGACAAAACACAAACGAAGAAATTAGGCTTTATGTCCCCATCGATGTATTGGTGATTTACTTATATCTTATTTGTTTTGTTCTCCAAGTTTCGCTTTATGTCCACATCGATGTATTGATTTGTTCATAAATAAATTACCCTCTTTTCATCGAGGTTATAATAAAAAGATTTAAAAGATAACACAAAATCAGTTAATGGCAACAAGGATCAGTTTAGTGAATGAATAAAAATTAGGCTTTTTATCAGTTAATGGCAACAAAGATTTTAATTTTTTTTGGTAACTCTGATGGCAAAAGATGATTTAGATTTTTTTATCACAAAACGTCTTTGACATTTGCGAAACTATTAAATTGCGTCCTTAAAGTTTTTTTGTATCACTCGTAGTCCCTAACTATCATATTAACCCAAATCACTCTAATACATCAAAAATCCTAGACCACTTCCATAAAAAGCCATAAATTGGTACTGTGTTTTCTGCGGCAGAATTTAAAAATATAAATGGTGGAAAAAGGTATGTTGGTGAATTGTGATAGAAAATATGACATGTGGTAGAGGATAATATAGTCCATTTAATGCCACGGTATCAAATCAGAGTGGCATAGAGAGACAGAGAAGAGACTGCGTGAATAGTAGTCATGAAGTGGACACACTTCATTCATAGATTTTGCAATCTTAATGGGTCCCATTGAAATATATATTTGGGATATATAGTGGGGAACAGCCAATATTTTTCAGAAAAAGCGTAACGGGTCTCACACAAAAAAACTTTAAAAACACTAGAAAAAAAGGGACCAATAGTCACTCTTTTGTCATTAACTAATTGGTATTGGTGACAATTGCTCTTGTTTACTCATCACTATTATTTTTGACTACTCTCAAATTCAGGGGTTCACACTGAAAAACGGTGGAAATTTCAGAGGTTCACACTGTAGTTCACTAGGAGGAAAGTAAGTTTCGCAAAGACTCACCCATGGTTGGTGCATTAGAAAGTCTCCCTTCGTGAATCATGTGTTTTAGTAGAATTATTGTACAGGAGTTGAGGCTACGGTAACGATTATAAATACACAATTAATGCTTGTATCTTGAGATATCAGACAAGCATATATACTTCACCAGTTATCTTTGTCTGTTGGGCAGTGGCTTGTTATTGGAACGGTGGGGGTGAGGGAGGCTTTAGGTTGGGTGGTGTTTGGGCCTAAATTTGGTGCGCTCAATCCAAAGTCAAAAAACCCACATCATTTTTTACAGCCACCAAATGACGGGGCCAAGAAGAAATACGCTCAATCCAAACATTAAAGGCCCAGAAACTATACAAATGGCTTGGGCCTTGGAAAGAAACGAATTAAGCCCAAAACCCTATAACAACTCTACCATTTCTTTAAAAAGCCTAGGAATAAGGCAACAGATTTTTCCCAGACCCACGTGACCCCTGACTTGGAAAAGTCAGCAATTTCAATTGGAAATAATAGAGGGCTAGTAGCAGCAGTTTTAGAAGAAAAGTATCTCAGGTAAAAGCTCTGCCATCAAAAACATCAGAATATATATATTCAGAGATATTTTTTCTAAAACAGAGAAGGCACCATTTTCAAGAGATAAGCAGACTATGCCTTCTAAAAGAGATAAGCAGGAAACAGGGAGTTGCTAAAACTGGAACTCAGACTTACCATCACAAGTTTGAAAGAGAAGTAAAACTGGAAAAAGAAGGTGAGGTTCTCCATTGAAACAGAGAAGTGCTGACTGTTGAGTGTTTATCTGCCAGAAGTGATAAAACCCCCTTTCTTTTGCATTTAAAATAAAAGATCTTTTTGGGAAATTTTGCCGCCCATTATTAAAAAATTAGAGCCTTCACTCCCAAAAAAGTTTTCTATAAATATAAGAGAGGGTGAACAGAAAACAATAACAAAAACAACCAAAAAATCAGTCAAACGACAAACACTCAAAATGATCACTTGATCTCAAAAAACCTTCAAGCAAATAGAAGCAACCAAAAGCTAGCTAAGCTTCAAGAAAAGCCAGCCACAAGTCGAAACTGCCAGTTTTCAGACTTAGAAGAAAGTCATTCAAAACGAGATTTTTCTCGTTACAAATTTGGTTCAGCAAAGCCAAAGCAAGCAGAGTTTGGGTTTTTCACAAATACGAAAACCTCAACAAATTTATGGAGAGCCTTGACTAAGCAGAACAAGTGCCACAATACAATTCCAGCTCAAGTCCAACCACTTCTGCCCCTTTCAATCTGAAGAAATCCCAACTCTGCCCGTTCAAAAGCCTTCCAGGGTTTTGAAATAGATTAAAGCTCTGCCAAACTCAAGCTTTGGTATCGATTTGCAGTTGAAGCCTAGCAGTTGAAGTTGTTAAAAGTCCAGTCCAGCACAGGCATATCCAATCCAGCCCAGATCAGAAGCACTCACTCAGACAGAAATGGAAGTCCAGCCTTCTTTTTATCTTTCTAGAGTCAGTTTTTCCTTTTTGAGTTGTGTAAAAGAGAGTTCTGCCTGAAAACAGATCATTTTCTTATCATTTATTCTGGCCAGAACTACCAGTTTGTACTGTGATAAATCGTGAAGTCCTCACCAGTCTGAGGCAAGAAAAGAACTTACTTGGGAGATATTCCTCACCCAAATTCACAATCGCTTGTTCAAAAATCAGTAACTTGGAACGCAAGTTATCTAATTTTAAGAAGCCTGCTAGAATTTTCATTGCTAACAATGGCACGCTCGCACACTAAAGAAAGTTGACTTGTTGACCAGTTAATGATTTTCAAGGCAATGGGGAAATTTGCCCTACCATCACAGGAAACAAATCAAAACGGGTGAACAAGTGGTGGTTGTGATATCATATAGGGCTAGGCACGGTATGAGATGACATGGGATGGAGGTCATCCCGGTGTTGATCCCAAATATGGGAATCAATATGGGATGACACGGGATGGGAGTTTTTGAAAACACATTCAAATCATACCGGACTCAAACGGGATTGGTATGATTCAGTATCAATGTTGATACCGTAAAAAATCTGTAAAATTTCATAAATCAAGTGTAATACAACAAAATAAACAATCAAGAATCTTGATTCAAGACCAACCAAGAGATGGAAACCTCATACAAAGTTCAAATGAAATGGAATGATATGAAATGCCACAATATTACAACTCATTGAATGGATATAGTAATGCATAAAATGTCATTCAAGTTAATGATCCAACAAGCTGGGCACTTGTTAACTTTTAGAGTTCTCATGGACAACTTAATAAGTTTTCCATGTGCAAGAAAATGAAACGGTAAGTAGCAAGGCATGATAAAATTTCATCATTTATGCAACCCTCTAGGGAAAGCTGTGACAAAACACAAACGAAGAAATTAGGCTTTATGTCCCCATCGATGTATTGGTGATTTACTTATATCTTATTTGTTTTGTTCTCCAAGTTTCGCTTTATGTCCACATCGATGTATTGATTTGTTCATAAATAAATTACCCTCTTTTCATCGAGGTTATAATAAAAAGATTTAAAAGATAACGCAAAATCAGTTAATGGCAACAAGGATCAGTTTAGTGAATGAATAAAAATTAGGCTTTTTTATCAGTTAATGGCAACAAAGATTTTAATTTTTTTTGGTAACTTTGATGGCAAAAGGTGATTTAGATTTTTTTATCACAAAACGTCTTTTATATTTGCGAAACTATTAAATTGCGTTCTTAAATCAAGGGAGTCACAGATCGTGAAACAGCTGAAGTTATCTACACATCCCAACACAAAATCAGATTTTAGTAAGGAGAAGATATCTTATTTTAATAATATACTCATTTTTCATACCAAACACCACAACCATTATGTTCCTCCCAATGCTGCAATTTATTAACTAAAAGGAAGTCTGAACTCAAATAGACAGAAATTAGGATGAGAGATGAATTAAATGGAGAAGAAAGAAAAGGAAATTCCAATGGGAAGTGAGCTTAATTTTGTGCCTTAATAAGTGGAGCTAGCTTCTGTTCATGAAATTTGATCACAAATCAACCCATAAATAAGACCAAGTGAATAAACTTACAACACTAACAAAAGGAACGTAAGCTTCTTCAACAAGGTATGCCAATGTTGTTCATGAGTCTATAATAATTCCTCTGCCGTGTGATGTGCTGGATCAATTGGCAAGATTTGCCCATTGACATCAATGCTTTGTAGATTTAAATAATAATGGTGCCTGGACATAATAGTGAAGGAAGTTATATGAAAAACTCAAACTCAAAAATAA